GAAAAAAAAAGAACAACAACAACAACTCGTGTTCGTGTATATTGACCGGTATTCTCAAGTGCAACCAGTTTCGTTTCTAGTTCAAATTGAAAAAGCATTTCAAAACACCGAATGAAAAATCAGTTGCCGGTAAATAGTGACTTTTCGACACTTTTTCTTAACTCTCTTTCGATTTCAAAAGAGACGGCATTTTAAACGGGATAATTCATATTGAATGAGGAACAACGAAGAGAATAAAAAAAAAACAAACAAACAACATCTCAATTTGTTACCGATTTTTATCTCAAAGTGTTACGATCATCATCGAATTTTCGTGATAGAAGCGCCGTCTGTCTGCTTTGGAATGCGTTGTGTTGCCGTTGTGTAACTCATTAGCACAAATATGCGCGATTTTCAGTCAAGTAAAAAAAAAACGACAGAAGAAGACTTAAATACCTTTAACGAAATTGATCCGCAAAATGGAGAGAAATTTCTGAAATCGAAAAGTGTGTGGTGTTTTTTTTCGTTAAATTTCTTCTTCGAATAGAACTAATTCATATGCATATAGCATGCTTGAAACTGATGATCGCCGTTGACCGTGTGAATGAATATGGTTATTTGGAAAGAAGACGAATACGGAAATATGCCAACGACGATCGGTATTGATTTGCGTCGGGCGAGAGAGAGTCATGTTATCACGTCACTATGTGCTCAACATAAAATATGTTTTAGGCGTCTAGAATTGATAAAGTATTTCGTTTAAATCAGCAAACGCGAACGGGCGCTGTTATAAATATGCAGCGCCAACCATCTAAACTAACAAGCGCGCTGCTAATAAGCGTTTCCTTTCATCGCAAGTTTTCAGTTAATTTGTAATTCAAATAAGTATCCTTCTGCACAACACCACTACAATGTAAAGAGAATTGATTTTTTGCGACATATGAAACAGCGCCATTTTTGTCCATTTTCTTTTCATCTCTATCGGATGAGAGTTGAACGCATTAAATGACCGGAGAGTAGCTGAAAATAACGATGAAGCAAACGCTGTTTTCTCGTAATTAATTCCCTTTCATTTTATGGCCATTTGGTTGTGTCAGCATTCTTGACTGTTGGCCATATTTTCCATTAGACACACTCTATGAGGATGAGTCTCCGGTGCCCGTTTTATTATCTAAGACTAAGTGATAAATATTGGCATAAAGGCGCCGAACCTGATGCTAGTGCACATAATAAAACAGCAAACTTTTAATTCATTTGAATGGAACATTTCCATTTGGCATTCGGACTGCGCGGCGGGTGCAATCCGCGTTTTTCTCTCGATCTCTCTCTCTCTCTCGGATTCATGGGCCGAAATGGCGAAATACACACACACACACACACACACATAAACGCATAAATAACCGGCCGCAGACAAACACCGACTTTGGTTTGGCTCTCATAAACGGCAGCGGTCATTATTGATGGTCCCCAGTGTGGAATACGCATGTTTGCACAATTTATATTCATAGAATCGATAAAAGGTATGTTAAAATAAAATTTTGCAAACAATTCATCTCTTTGCTGCATACCAGAAGACGACACGATTTTTTTCCCTTATGATTGTGTGTTTGCTTGGTGCGATTCTGCGCATCAAAAGATCAGCGCACTCTGAATCACTACCACCACCACGCCTAGAATTGACAATAGGAACGTGGAATGTTGATCGAAACAAAAAGGCAGGCGAACGAACGAGAGAAAAAAAATTAAAACGTTCTTCTGTTCTCCGTGATTTTTTTCGTTAGTTTGACATGTTCATGGCATTTTCGGCGATTAGTAAGCAAAGGGCCGATATAATTTTTATTGAAAGAGAGATGGAACGGAATTCGGACCGAAGCATGCTGACACAGCGGTGCGTCTGTCTAAGATGTTCGGTTTCTGTTTTGTTCGCATTGAATTTATGGATTCAAATAAGAACGAGCTGCACGCGCTCGCAAGCATCCTAAAAGGCAAACCGCGCATTGCATATGGGTTCAGCGTGTGTGTGTTTTTTTTTTGTTGCTGCTCGTTCGATCGATCGCATTTTTATCGGCTTCTTTTCCATTGTTTTTACCGATTTTTCAAAGTCAATTTCTAGATCAATTTGCATAAATTTTATAAATCATAATTTGGTGAGGTTCAATGAAATGCGTCCGCTTGTCTGGCTGTCGTCCATTTTAGATTTTCGGTTAGAAACAATACAATTAGAACGGAAAAAAACCATCACCGACATGAATTTATTAAATGCTCAAATTCCATCGCATCGAACTAAATTCCATTTGCAAATTGAAGAAACATGTCGGCGGCGTCGACTAAAGCCACACTTAACTTCTTGCTCTTTGTGTTTTCTCTAATTCAAGAATGTTTCAATGATATGCATGTTTCGGTAAACGCGCGCGTCCATTGATCGTTCCTTTTTTGTTTTAATAAATTTGTACGGCCACGTCGGAAAATGGCCAATTTGCGATAACAAATGAACAACACCTAATCATATTTTATGGAGTATATTTTTCATTTGTCTATGTCACATTTTGTTGTTGGTTGCTCTGCAATCGCATTGGATTGGACAACAGCATTAAAAAAAAAAACAATAAAAAACATCCCAAAACTCTGAAGCATTTTAAGTTAAGAGATAATTTATGTGAAACAATTTTTATTAGCACTTGAGAGTCGGAGAGCGAGAAACAAAAAGCCAATGCTCAAGAAAACGAATATACTTGGACATTCTATCGACCAGAAAAAGCAGGCGATCGAAGCAGCAGCAGCAGCAGCGGCAGCAAAGACATTCGCTACAAAATGGAATGTGCAGCAAATGAAAATGCATCAAAATCCAAGAGGGAAAAACGTATAGCGAGGAGCATTTTTTTTAAATACTCGAATGAATTTTAAATACAATCCCATTGCCTATTCGTATGATGCGGTTTTCATCGTCCGTGTTTTCTTCGCAATCGAAACAATCGTCTTCTCTTGCTCTTCATCTCTCTTCTCATACACTCTCACATGTCTGATTACTGCTCATATTTATTGTGTATGGACACTAAAAATAATTTATTTCACTCTTTTGAGTGAAAAAAAAACATCACTGAAGATGTGCCTGACTTTGTTTGCGGGTACGACAACGGCGGCGACGGGCTCAACACACAGCGAGGACGTGCGAGGATAAGCCATTAAATGTGCTAAACATTGTTGATGATATCCGAATGAGAAATGTCTGGCAAAATGAAACAAAATGCTTATTTATTTGTTAATGTTTTGTTTTTGTTTCGTTTTGCGAAATGTACACCATCGTTAGCAAATACTATAAACTCAATGAGAAAAAAAAGCAACAGCGACAACGATGATGACGACGACGACTACGACGACGTAGACGACGAGGGAAAAAAGAAGGCAACAACAATAAACAATGCCAAGAGCAACCGGTAATTGGAATGCAGTTGCAACGAACAAAAACCAAATCACGAGAATAATTCTATTTTTATGATATGTCAAAGGAAAAAGGAAGCATTCGTTTGGCATTGGCGCAAATTAAGTCACCATCAATCGCATCAATAATAATGATTGTCGGAGATTAGAATGAGGTGATAAGATGCGAAAAGTATATCGTTCATTGCAATTGAAATTGGTTCTGTGGCCTATATTGTCAGAATCATCGTCAACAGCAGCAGTAGCGGCAGTGGCATCGTTCGTCACTTTGTCAATAGTTTGGTGTATAGTTCGATGACAACGACAATATTGATTAAGTTGAGTGGCACGAGTCCGTGCACGACACTGATATTTTACTTTTTAGCTTCCGTTTCAATGCATGCCGATTTGAGCGACGACGAGCCGAGAGAGAGAGAGAGAGAGAGAGCGCACACGCGTATGTGTGCTAGTGCGTGAGTGCAATGGCAAAAGTGTGGAAAGAAAGAGCCATCCGGAGTGCCGAGTGACTTGCGGAATGATCAGTGTTTGATGCACGATGAGAATAGCAATTAACAGCTGAACGAAAGAAAAAATCGACAACATTTGGCGAATGAATATGGGCCCCCATCATCAATATGGGAAATAAGTAGGAAAAATGATGTATATGAAATGATTATTTTCGCGTTGGCCAAAGATAAAGAAATTAGTAGCGGTGTTGCGCATTAGCGCGTACATCACCTCTGTGTGTTATCACTTCCATTCGATCTGAAATGAATATGTGGCCAAAAAATGAATTGGCGAGTGTAAATGAAATGGCTCGCGGTCAAAAGATGAGCACCATTTATTGAGCATGAAACATTGATGAGATAAGCAAATTTAAGCATGCTGCCACTGTGAAACACCATCAAATAGCCACATCCGAATACAATATTCGCTTAAAAAACGACAAATAGCATCAAGAGAACACACCATCAAAGCGTAACCATAAATGAAATGAAAATATTGTAAAAGTTGAAATGAAAGAAGTGATCAATACCAAATGGAAGTTGGTGCTGCTGCTGCTCATCGCCCAGCTCGTCGAGTAAGAATCTCAAGCGCAATACAGACAATTCCAAACAGCCACGGTACACATAGTAAGTAAGTGCCGTTGCGCGCGCACATCCAAACGGCAATTGAAATCAACTTTGCTCAGCGGAAGAGAGAAGCACGCTGGCTGGCTGGCTCGCTCGTTCGCGTGCGCACACACACGGACCAAATGCCGAAGCGACGCAACTCTCGAAAGAAGCAAACGAATTCGACATGCAGAAGGGAAAAAGAGCAAAGCAAATGATGACAGAGAGAGAATCGAAAGAGGCACAGTGTGCGAAAAAAAGAAACATACAGAATGGAATAATAATAATAACAAACATACACACACTGTACACACAAGCTAAACTAAGACGGACGACGATCATCATTGGTAAAAATACAGAAGAAGTAGAAGAGAAGAAGAAAAAAAAAACACACAACAGAAAAGAAATGGTTCTCCGGCACATAAACTAGCGGCTGAAGAAGAAAAATGTGCTGTTAACGTATATACGAATAGCTTGTTATGTTTTTGGATCAGTTCAAATTTGACCAGCAAAGTTGACACTACGATTTTGCTCTCAGCTCCTCAACCGGTGCAATCGACCATTAGTTCTCTTTTATTTGTGCTTACGAAGGTTTTTGTTCAAATTTTCAAAAAGAAAAGAAAAATTCAACGATTTTCTTCTTCAAGTTTTTTTTTAATTTTACAACTCGATTTTTGTTTCCAATCAATTCATTTGATTCGTTTGAATTGCAATTGTCAGTTGTGCAAATGTGATTTTCATATATCGACTGGTTAGTTTTTATCTAATTATTTTTTGTTTCTCTTTCGTTTAAGTTTAAACCTTTTTTTTCCGTTTTTTTTTTTTGAGAGAAAGAAATTCTAAATGCAGTTTCTGGGAAAGAATAATAAAATGTTGAGTGAATGGAGATGCTCTCTTGTTATAATTTGTTGTAAATTTCGATTATTCTGTTGCGTTCATTAAAGTGTAATGAAATTAATATTTATTAGCCAATCGTTAAACGTGCTTACTAATCGAATGGATATTGTGCTCCGACCGAGTGCTTCATGTCTATAACCGAGATGGAAAGGAAAGAAAAGAAAAAAAACTGATTTTCATTCGTGTTGAATTAATGCCGTGCGATCCGTCTGAAAGAGGGAAAATATTCAAATGTTGTGCATGCCATTTTACTCCTTAATTACCCATTGGACTGGTAAAACTGCAGAAAAATTCTTTACATTTTACGTTGGAAGTAAAAAATCGCCTTTTATTTTGGATCTATTTCATTGATTGTTGTCTCTTTTTTGAATGGTTCTTTTACAAAACCACTTACACACAATTCGAACGAACGAGAGACTTTTACTATGTTCACACATAAAAAAAAAGTGGTTGAGAAAAGAATGTGTTCTTTAAATGATTGAGTTGTTAAAAAATCATTTTTTTTTATTTTGCTAAGATTATTTTTCGTCGCAATTTTTGCTGACAAATTTTATGCAAATTATCGGATAAAGCTGAAATTATCATAAAAGTCCATCAAATTATCACCATAAAGAAAATAAAAATCATAGAAAATCAAATGAATAGAAGCAAGAAAAATTGTAAGAATGGAAAAAAAAGCAGTCATCGTTTTCACAAGAAACTCAAAAAAAAAAAGTTCGTTCTCAAAATCAAGAGGCTGAGTATGTAAAAAAAAGCCATCAGATTATCATGAGATTATGCATTGTTACAAACTAAACCGTTTGACTCATATGCTAATTAACGGTAAAATGATGGTTTATGCGTCACATTCAGGACAGACATTTTTGAATCAATCAAAATTCCATTTTGGTGTTGAAATTTGTTCGCGGTCACTTATCAAATGCCGTTTTTGGTCGCAACTTTTACTCGGTCACGAGCAAATATACACACACATACACACAGCAGTAATTGATGTGTCAAATTTAAGAATGTAAATGAGTTCATCACCAGTCACTAATGACAAATCATCCATGTGTTTTTTTCTCTCTTCATCTTTTAATTAATTAAATGTTCAATATCTGGTATTCGATGAATCTCGTTTGATTGTTGGGTTTTTTTTTCTTCTCTGCTTCTGGGTTGAGATTTCAAATGAATGTGCACTGTCATTATGAAAGATTCATTCATATGGGTGGAAAGCGACGAACCCAAACATGTGGCGAAAATTTCTTTATTTTCTTTTGCCGCTTCAACAAGCCGCCAATGCGTGCGTGCGTGCGTTTATGTGTGGAAAAGTGCAGTGCAATCCATTTTCCATATTGAGCCACATTGGCCGGCCATCGTGTCAACGTACCTATCGATCTTCATTCCATTCAAGAAAAATCGTCAAAATCCAGTTTCACAGCGAAATGCTGATGTCTATAAATAAATGGAAAATCAGATAAATACACATGGAAATGAAATTGAGAGAAATAGAAGCAGAGAGAGAGAGAGAGAGAGAGAGAGAGAGAAGAGAAGAGAAAAAAAGAAGCAACTCGAAACAAGCCACACGGCCGAAGCAATTCAAAGCATCACAGAGAGAAGTTCCGTGTTAGCACATGCTACAATTTAATCACCTCTAAGACAAACGGTACATTTGACATGATATTAAATTATCCGAAGAATCAATAAGTGGATTCTTTCGATTGAACAAATGAACAGAATGAAAAAAACAACAACAACAACAACAGTCGATTAACTATTTCCCCGCTAAACAAATGATTACATTCTGCAGAAAGAAAAAACGCAAACATTTACCAATTTTCAATTAGATGAAATGGGGAGAGGCAATAAAAACAAGCGTAATATACCTACCGCAACAAGAACCGCAACGCATACACCAAATTTTCCACCATGAAAAACCTTTGAACATATTAAAGCAGAACAGCAAACCGAGAAAAAAAAACAGAAACGAAACAAGTACTTTTTTCGTATCTTTCGTACGAGGGGCCATTGAAAGCAGACAAAGAAATCAAAATGTTGATTTTGTAAAGACAAGTACAGTGTGTCACGTGCCACAATGTCTGGTCACACAAATTGCACGGCACGCCATAGCAATAAAATAAGAAAATGCCTGATAAAAAGAAAAGAAAATAATTCCACAATCATTCATTCATCGTTCAATGCCATTGCCAATTGCCATTACGGTGCGCGAGAGAGAGGATGATAATAAAAGAGAGAGAGAGAGAGAGGAAGAGAGAGAGAGAGAGAGAGAGAGAGAGCGAGAGAGAGAGAGAAAAAAACATATCGACAATTCAACATACACATTTTCTTCATTGATGTGTTCAATGTGTGTGGTGGCCGACCGAATGGATATCACTTTAGAAACACTTTGAATGAGCAGTACCCCCGGTTTTGCCGCGGAAGCAATAACATCAGCTCACGCACAACGAGCGCACAATGAAACCATTTCGATAGACAAAAAAATGCACACAATAGAAATGATGAAACTCTTTTTTTCCCTCTCTTTTCCAATCATTATAATACACGTGCCATTAACCGGGCGCGAAATGGACAGGGAAAAAAACGACTTAACAAATAAATCCATTTGTTATATTTATATATGACGTTTGATGAAAAACTCATTAAATTTTCCACAGTCGATTAGGACTATGGAAAAGATGACCATTTTTTATCATAAAATTCATTCGTCAGCCTTTTTCATTGCATCATAACAAAAAATTGTGATCGTCGATTCTACATATCGCATTACATTGTTTTGTTGCAGCAATGTTTTCGTAGAATTCTAAACGAGTCGTTTATTTCTCATGTGCAATCTTGCGGCATCCGTGTAAGCAAAGTCAGCCGTCTGAATTCTTTTTAATTTCCATTTGGTTCACATCTACAATTCGAATATAATTTCGGTATGAAAATAATCACCAGACAAACTGTGTTCCAACAAATCGGTCGATCGATGAAAAATGTGCAGTGCAATGCACAGTTTGCCGGGTTGATCGATTCCAGAGCGCTTGCGATAACGAATCGAAAAATATACGAAATAATAATGGTGATGTTGTTGTTGTTTGGTTGTGCAATTTAAAATGGGCTTGTTAAAATTTCGTCCGGCACAAACTGGCTGGCTATGCCGCTCGAAGTAGACTCGTGATCAATAATCATGAAGACACGATCACAAGTTTTTCGCTATTTTTTTTTTCTTTTCGATTTTAATTATAAGACCAATTTCGACTGTTAGCTCAGCGATGATAGGCTCTTTCCCTATATTGCGTCGTCGAACATGATATATGTGCATTTAATTTTTCGCTCATTTTACAATCAATTTCGTTACATTTTTCGCGCGCTCAGCCATCAATAAACAGAAAAAAGAGGGAGAGAGAGAGAGAAAAACAATAAACGAAGAAAATAATAAAAATGTGCACAATTTGCGCCGCATAATTTTCTAGTGAGCTATGAATTACACAATTGGACATCACAGTGCACTGTGAGTGTAATATAAATTGTAAGAACGAGCCCACAAATCGCTACATAAAAAAAACATATATAATTTAAAGCAGAGAGGCTCCAACCAAACCAACGAAATGATTTATGCGAAAATCGATTATTGTGATTGAATTTTGGTTTCTTCTCTCTCTCTCTCTCTCTCTCTCTCTCTCTGCATGCAGTTGGAGAATGAGATGCGAGAACAGTTCGTGCACAGCGGTTCTGTGCTTTTTTTCTCTCTCTCTCTCTCTCTCTCTCTCTCTCTCTCTCTCTCTCTCTCTCT